TAACGCACCTTGAATTGAATTAATTGAATGTTATCTAATTCAGCATCGGTGACTGTAGGTTGCAGAGCACGTAGCGAGAGCATCGTTGTATCTACAGACCGTCGTCATCCGTTCTGAAAGAAATGCTTTAGCTATGTTGCTTGACGACATATACAAAAAAATACATAAACCACTCTCCGACTATCTATCGGAAGGTGTCCTGATCTGTAACCAGATTTGGAAAAAAGCTATAGGATTTGTTTAAAACAGCAGTTCGTGTTCTTTGATACAAAAAATAGAACAATGTCAGGGGAATGATTTTAAATTTCTCTTTGGAAACACAACCCGCTTGCGTGGTGAAGACGGAGTTGTGCCCTTAAGGCATCTGCAACTAAAAAAATCGTCAAATGTAGAAAACGAATATTTAAGGAAGCAATTATTTATTTTATCGAGATTTCGTAATTGTAATAAGTGGTTTTGATTTTCGGAGTCACGGTTTTATCGTTCTTGTATCAGAAACCAAACTGTTACACATTTCGAAAGAAATAAAATACAGATTCGGGACAGATGAAAAAAAAAACAGACAACATAATCTTTACCACACGTATAAAAGTAAGTTCCGCAAATTAAATGTATTTTGTAAAGTTTATTTTTTGTAATTTCGGTCGGTCGCATATTGTAAAACCTATCCATTTATTTATCTGTAGTTTATCTTGAAAGAAATGCGCTATATTTAATTTCAATCAGGGTCATGATATAAAATGTAATATTCATGAATTATAAGAAAGGACTGCTTAATTCGTAATAAAGGGTATCCTTTATGTTTCTATAATAAAAAGATATCCGAAAATCAGCAAAGGCTCTTCAATGACGTTACGGTAGCGAAACCACGCCCACTCTCAATCCTACCAATGATCGTAAATGTTCACGCACCGTCGCGTCCTATTGGATGTCCACAAGTAGGCGGAGAGTCATCAGTAATCAGCCAATAAAAGTTGACTGCCTCCCTCCCACATGGCCCCGCCCCCACAGGCTAGTATTTCATCCGAAGAATTTGAATATATTCATGAAGGTAATCTGAGTAGGCTTGGTTTACAATGTATCTATAGATACACATACAGTGTACGTATTTCTCAAGTAACACACTCCCTCCGTGTGATGTCCTGTGAGTGAACGGCGATGATGATTTTTAGATTTATAATAGTAACGTTTAAAACACATTTTTCTTGTAAAACTGTAGCAATCTACAAAACACAGTAATGAAAAATATTTTTTTATTACTGTAATTAGTAATCAAATCAACATCTTTTCTTTTTATATCACAAACAAAAAAATAGCATATTGTATTGCAAAGTAAATTTTCGCAAGGGAAAATGTACTGTCGATTTTCTTTGTAGTGGCACTTTTTAAATATAAAACAACTTGAATTAAATCTTAATGTTACATGAAACAAATACAAAAAATGCAGGTAGTACATTTTAAGGAAACATTTGACTTAGCTAATGAATTACAGGCCTCTCACATTTTTTAAGTATAGAAGTAAGGTAAGGATGAGCAACGTCTTCATAGTAAAATATTTTCAACCTTCTGGTATATTCCCGTTCAAGCGCAAACTATGGTGTTTTTTAATCTTTGGTAACAGCGCCTGTATGTAGTTTTTATGTTAGAGTATAAGAATGTCCAAGTGTACCATTTTAACAACACTTTACAGCTGGGGCAGGTTTAATATGAAACATTCGATGTTTGTGAAAATACATTATACAGAAATATAATGGAACACTTAATAACCTTTAAGTGATTTGTCGGTGTAGGCTTAGGTACAAAATTTCAATCTCGTTTACTATGTCATGAAAATATCGTGTTTAAGTTAATAGTAAAATAGTTACATTAATTTATAAACCCCCCAAACTAACAAAGTAGTCGGATTTGTTTGCTTTTTCGTTCGTTAGGTTTCGTTTCCAAACTTGCGATATATTACAATACTCAATTCCTCTCCGTAATTCTAAGAATCACGGAGATAATAAATACAAATATAAAACGCTGTTATCGCTTAACGTTTCTCTGCAACAGTCTTGTCCAGACCACAGTAAACACGTCCATGGCCTTTTCTATAAATACACGCATATATTATGTATAAAATAGTTCTACAGCACATGTACTGCATTTCTTTGCTTGGGTTCAAATGGTTGTTTTTAAAAAAACAAAAACAATTTCTTCTCATTTCAATATAGACCACTTGATCTGGTCCTTCGCGGACTGCAGAACCTGGAAGAAAGAAAAAAAAAAAGAATAAACACAGAACGCCCGTAACAATAACAATAACAACAACAACATGATTTCACTAAAATAATGTAGTACCTGTCCTGTGCTGTTTTTCTGCAGTTGCAGAAGACTGGCGACTGTGCGTTCTGCGCTAACTGTTGCCGAACACTTATGAGTTGCGACAGAGCGCGGTACGAATCCGGCAATTCACAACTTATGTTGCGCTTAAAGGTGTAAGTGTTCCGTTTTAAAATACAGCAGCTCCACGTTATGATATATATATATATTATCATGGAAGATATTTCCAGCATTTTAGCATTGTTTTCCACTGGTAATACAGTGGCTTAGATCCAAGGGCACTTTCTAGATCTAGATTTTTACTTGTTTGACTTTCTTAATAATTCTTGTACGCTTGCACGTGTACGTGTTGTAATTCGAGAATAATGTGCTAAGCCCTGATTAGTACTAACTCCTTACTAAGTACTTAGTACTGTAGGTACTAACCCATTCGCTTCGTTATAAACGCTGATTCATCCATTGTTTTACAATTTTAAATGGATTGTATTGTTCAGTGCCTAGTAGCTTATAAAGGCCTTCTGTATATTACATTTGGAATACGTAAAAAGCATTTCCATGAGTCTTTTGAATGTAACGCTCTGCTAAATGAGGAATGGACAAAGAGTGTGTACGGCGCTGCATTACAGCCCCCAGCAGTGGCAGAAGTCCTTTGTGGGAAAGACGCGTTTGGTTTAAATAAGCTTCAAGCTGGTGGGGCGTGAGAAACCGGCTCTCGTCTTTTCACTTAAGCAACCGGTAGATGTCGCTGCACATCACAGAATTGTTATCAGAAGTCTGGGACGCGCCTCTGCAAACACACACGAATTTACAGCAGATGAGACAGCAACAGCTGGAGCCCACAGTTAGAAGGAATGAACTTGTCCCAAGCGGGACCAGATGAACAGAGGACAGCAGCGTTTTGTAAGGCAGTGCTCGCTTGTTTCAGTATCTTACAGGATAATTCAGAATCACTTTTCCACCAGTTCCTGGTGGAAGTTTCCACCAATTCCACTGAATTAAAAACGCTGTTTTTTTACCGGTACCCTAACCCTCAATTTTGCAGTAAGCAGGCGGGACCTCTGTCTCTCCTCTTTTAAACCCCAGGTGGCCTCATACCTTCGGCGTTGTTATCGCTCTCAGAAGAGAGCCTGTGAGCCGCGCCGACATGACTTATCGTATAATTTCTATAACGGATGTTTTCATTGTCAATGCCAGGCGATAAAGCAAGAAATGCGCCGATCAGGCGGTGTTCTGCGGCAGGCCGGGCCCCAGTTTCGTACGGAGAGGTGACTTACGCCGGAGGTCATCGCCAGTTTCTGCGAAATGTGCTGTGTGGGGTTAGAGCAGAGTGTTAGTTCTCAGGTCGGACAGGCAGGCTGGGATGAGCCAGCAAGGAGGTTAGAGTGCAGCCTCGTCTCTTTCTTTTCAAATCTGAGCAGGAGAACTACATTTAGTTCAAACTAGAGGGGAGGGAGGTAGTTACTTAGCGAAAAATAGAGTCATTAATAATAGATCCACATTTGCTTTTTAAATAAGCGTCTGCCCAGCCAAGACAGAAACCTGAGAGATTAAAAGACTCTTAACCAGCAAAGATCAGGTGGTTCCTTGTTAATAAACGTTCAGTAACCAGTGAGTGTAGCACCCTGCCCCAGTTTGTCCTGGCTGTGCTGTACTGACTCTTCTCAGAGGTTTCTAAGAGAAACAGACCAGTTTTTCCACTATTACTCTAGACCTGGGAGTGTCCAGTCCCGGTGCCAGAGGGCTGATCGGTGTGTCTGCAGGTTTTCCAGGTCTCCCAGGTCTCTCTATCCATCAGCTCTGTCACCCTGCAGCTCCCAGCTCACAGCTGGCAGCCCACTGGAGCTCAGCAGGTGTGAGCCTGGTCAGTACCTGGGTGGGAGACTCCTGGGAAAGCTGAGGCTGCTGCTGGAGGAGGTGTTAATGGGCCAGCAGGGGGTGCTCACCCTGCAGTCTGTGCAGGTCCTAATGCCCCATTATAGTGACGGGGACACTATACTGTAAAAAGGTGCCATCCTCCGGATGAGATGTAAAAACTTAAGTCCTGACTCTCTGTGCTCATTTTAAATCCCAGGGCATTTCTCGATAAGAGTAGGGGTGTAACCCTGGTGTCCTGGCTACATTTCCCATTGGCCCTTACCAATCATGGCCTCCTAATAACCCCCATCTCTGAATTGGCTTCATCACTCTGCTCTCCTCCCCACTGAGAGCTGGTGTGTGGGGAGAGTACTGGCGCATCATCCAGGTGGGGCTGCACACTGGTGGTGCTGGTGGAGGGGATCCCCATGACCTGTACAGCGCTTTGAGTGGAGTGCGCAGAAGAGCGCTATATAAGTGTAAACTATTATTATTCAAGCAGCACCTGTTAAGCTGGCCCAGAGAGACCAGTAACCAGCTGGTTACTATCTCAGTATGAGCTGAGCATGCATTGAAACCTGCAGAAGCCCTGGCCCTCCGGGAGCAGGACTGGACGCCCTGCGGACACAGCGGCCAGCCGGGAGCAGGACTGGACAGCCCTGGGCTAGGCGATAGGCGTGCTAACAATTCATGCAGCAGGCATCAGAGCCCAGGGTTGTCAGGTGGTTCTCTCTAGCGGCTGGGGGCTGGGGGCCGAGCGCTGCTGAAGACTGTGCCCTTACCTGCGCCACGCTCTGCTCCGACAGGGGGTTCTCGTCCACCTGTACGGCATGGGGGGGGGAGAAGGAGACCACATGAGTATGGGCACCGTCAGTTCTGACACTTTCTGCCAGGCGCACTTTCCCAAAGCTCTAAAATGACACTGATGAATATGAAAGGGCGCGTTCCATTGTAGGCCCTGCTGGCTGCCCTGTTTCATTTTACAGGAAGCAGGACCGTGTGAGAAAACCGGTCTGAGAACATGAGACATCCTGGAAATGAGGTCATTCAGCCCATCTAGATTGTCTGTTGTCCGCTAGTTAAAAAGATCAAGGCTCTTGTGCAGCTGTTCCTTGAAAGCGCCTGCATTGTCGGCTTCCAGACCAGGGCTGTACAGCTTGTTCCACACCCCCAACACCCTCTGTGTAAGGAAGTGCCCCCTGCTCTCAGATTTAAATGTCTACTTAAATGTCGACTGTTCTTCTAACAGAACTGCTGCCTTACTGTCTGCAAGGTCTATACCACTGTTGTGGGTCTGGTGGATAGAGCACACTAGTGTGCTAAGAGACATGACTGGGTGGTTAAAAAAAACACCCTAACAGGTGTTAGTGGTTCTGTTTTCATGCCAGTGTTTCAAACCAATCCAGCTGAAAGTCTCATTAATCTCATTGCATCTCATTAAGAGGCTGTAAGATTTTCATCAATTCAAGTTAAAAAAATCCACACACACACACATGCACAAATTCACACAATCCACAAAAAACACACACGTAAGGATGTGAAGGAGTATCTGAGAAATGGCACCAGGGAAGGAGAAACAGCACTTGACACCTAAATGCGTTCGATCAGTGAAACTGAAACTAGGGGAGGAGCTCTGCGCTTGGACCACCTCTCCTTCCTCGTGAGAACGTGTCGGGTTTGAGCTTTGGGAGAAGTGGGAGAAGGTGATAATGCAACCCCCACCCCCCCACACACACACCAAAAACAAAAGGCATGGTCGTGCACTGTTGGAAAAAGCAATGCATTCACACACTGGCCAAACTGGGGGCATCGCATGTGGGGGCTTTGCCGGTGTGGGACGGCGTGCAAGTCCGTTTCCTCATCACAGCGCCAAGCGTCGCGCGCCTCCTCGCATGCTGGCGTGCAGTTACCTGCTCCGAGCCCCTCCCTCCCTCCCCCTCCGCCTGCCGCGCTACGTGCTCGAGCTGCTGTCCCGCGCGGCCTCTGTGTTACCGGTGATGTAGTCGAACAGGACGAAGCCGTAGGCCGGCTCGGACAGGGTCTGGGGCGGAAGAGAAGAGGGGAGAGAGCAGGACGAGAGGAGGGAGAGGGGTAAGGAAAGGAGGAAGAAGAGGCCAAGGGCAGCCCACTGGAGCTCAGCAGGTGGGAGCCTGACCAGAACCTGGATGGGAGACCTCCTGGGAAAAACTAAGGCTGCTTCTGGAAGAGGTGTTAGTGAGACCAGTAGGGAGCGCTCACCCTGCGGTCTGTATGGGTCCTAATGCCCCAGTATAGTGACAGGGACTCTTTACTGTAAATAAAAGACACCATCCTTTGGATCAAACATAAAACCAAGGTCCTGACTCCCTTTGCTCCTTATAAATCCCAGTGCATTTCTGGAACATAGTAGGAGTGTTACCCCGGTGTCCTGGCCAAATTTCACATTAGCCTTTACTAATCATGGCCTCCTAATAATTCCCATATATGAACTGGCCTCATCACTCTGTTCTCCTCCCCACTGTAAGCTGGTGTGTGCTGAGTGTATTGGCGCACTCTAGATGCTGTCTAGCTGCTGCATCACCCAGGTGGGGTTACACATTGGTGGTGGTAGTGGGATTCCCCACTTTTTAATCACTCGGCGTCAAAACAGCCCAGATTTCGGCTGTGCTGTCCTCTTAGGCTTGGCAGAGCACAGCAGCATAAATCAGAGAAGAAAGGATGAGAAGCCCTGGAAATCAGAGCGAGGAAATGCTCTGAGAGGTGGAGGGAGAGATGGAGGAGGGATGGAGGGAGAGATGGAGGGAGAGGTAGTGGGAGGGATGGAGGAGGCTCTGGCAGTGGTGTGACTGGACACTGAGAGTTCAGCCAGCACACAGCTACACAGAGTAGGGGTGTAACCCCGGCGTCCAGGTCAAATTTCCCCCTGGCCTTTACCAATCATGGCCTCCTAATAATCCCCCTCTCTGAACTGGCTTCATCACTCTGCTCTCCTCCCCACTGAGAGCTGGTGTGTGGGGGGCATCATCCAGGTGGGGCTGCACACTGGTGGTGGTGGAGGGGATCCCCATTGCCTGTAAAGCGCTTTGAGTGGAGTGTCCAGAAAAGCGCTATATAAGTTTAAGCAACTATTAATTATTATTATTATTATTGTTTGTATAGGTTTTCTCCAGGTTGTTTGGTCTCTTCTCTCTTTCTTAAACCACGCTCATCAGGTTTGACTTTCCCTTCCTCTTTGGTCCTGCAATCATTCAGTGCCTCAACCAGGATGAAAACAGACATGCTGTCAGTCTGGTCTGCGCCCTGCGGTTCTGGGATGTGCTCCAGCCTGCCATTACCCTCCCCAGGATAAGTGGCTTTTTCATAATGCACAGACTGAATTCTTCACTTCCTTCTTCTTCTCAGACCCAAGATAAACAGTTCAGTCCTTACCAAGCCTGAACTGGAACATTATATCCCAGTGGCTCTGTGTGGGATTCTTTATGTGCACTGTTGGCATTTCTGTAAATTACAGCTGTTAAATGCCAACTAAAATTAATCTGAGGATAAAACATTCTGTATGCGTGCTAAGTATACGTAAAGAATGATAAGTTATCTATTTCAAGCTGTCAGAAGGACATTTATTTTTGTGATTGCTGAGTAGTACCAGGAAAGGGTAGAACCCTCTAAATTCCATCTTGAAAATCAATAGGCTTCCGGCATGTTCCTTTCTGTTTCAGAAAGGCCAAACCCTGTGAACATCAACTATGTCAAAGGAAAACTCTCCAGAAATACAAACACTCCTTCCCCACACACTCACAGGCAAGCCACTGTCCCCAGATCTCTTACCCTGAAGTTGACCTTCTGAATGACCTGCTGGGGGTCACTCTCCAGAATCACCCTGGCAACAGGAATCAAGACTTCAGTCAGTCGCTGGAGTTCACAGGCCCAGCAGAAGCAACGTTTACAGAGCTGCTCTCCAGGAATCTACACTGCACATGCATTTTCTTATGACAAAAAGTTTTAGTGGTTCAAGGAACAAGTCTAAGCGACCTGGATAACCGTTTTGCTGTACTGTTTATTCAAGTTAACGATTGCTTTGAATTACCAACTCTAACCCATCGTAACATCTTCATGACAACTCAAAGTTGCTGCAACAGCATGCAAGCAGGAAGCAGAAAAAGCACTTCCCCATGAATAACAACGGATACATTCAACTACAGAACATCAGCTGATGGCTTGTAATGGACATGTTCCATGTTCCTAGACAAGCTTGATGGTGAAGCTCAAGAGTCCAAGGAACAGCCACAGCAATCTGCATGCACCCAGAATAACAGCTGAATCCGCAAGGGACAGCTCAGCTCAGGAAACTAAATTAGCAGGTCGGTATTTCCTGGGCATCAAAACATTCCATACAGTATATACAGAGAGCTCGGGATTGCAACACCTGCGTTTCAGTGCAGTTTGCCGACTTTTAAACTCGCTTTACTCTTTTAGTAGGTGTTGCAGTCATCATGCACATACGATTAGTGGCTTTCTCATCTGTGATTCATTGCTGTGGAACCATCAAGAAAATGCCCCACTTTCTCTTGTTTTAACCAGTAGGAAACTTGTTTGTCAAAGAGCTCTCTTCCTCACTCTCCACGCGCCCTCGCGTTGTATCTCACCCCCCATCGATGATCTCGTCCACCACCAGGAACACCCCATCCATGTTGTCCAGCAGACACCTCTTCTCCACATTCTTCCTGCGGAGGCAGGCCAGAGCCAGAACAACAACAAAAAAATCCCATATTACAAAATCCACATAGAACACACACAATTCCAAAACAGCGTCCCGAAAAAAACCTCCTGCAAACACATCGGCGGCAGTGACAAACAGCTGCATCACAAACAATCCTGTCACTGTGTGGGGAGGGACAGGATCTTATTCTGCACTGTTATCACTGAAATTCTAAGCGCAAGATGCTCACAGCCAACCTTGTCTCACATTTAAATCATTTGTCCTGAGCTCAAAACAAAAGGCACGAAATAAGATAACGTGTCGGGTGGACTGAAGACAAAAATGGAAAACAATGAAAACAAAACAGCAACCCTGCTCTTTTTTTTTTTCCCTGGAAGGGTGCTTTTCCAGCCTCGTTTTCTTGGCCTTCCTCCTTGTCAGGAGGATGATGATAATTATTAAAGGCAGTGTCACACCACAGCCCAAGCTGGCCTGGGCCGAGGACCAAGCTGTGGAGGGGAAAGACCCTGAGAAGCATCACTCTGCTGCAGGAGAGAGGAGCTCCACAACGCTGCTGCATTGGTTACCATGGAAACAACATCAGCACCACAAGCCTCTGCCTTCTACAGTGCATTAGGTACAAAGAAATAGATCTAGTGAATTATTGGAATTTCATTTTGGTCTGCTTTTTAAATAAACTTTTATGTGCCAAGTCTTACACAAAGCTGCATCACAACCCAGAACACGACTGAAGAGATTTCAAAATCCTAGGTCTGTAGTTTTACATATTAATCTAGCCCTTACACACTTGCGGTGTCTCGTACCACATTGGCACCTCAGAATCACACTTTCAGACTGGTAAACCAGGATCGACTACCAGTCCAGTCTGCCCTGCGCGGGGTTATGCTCGTGATCATTGTAGCTGAAGGTCACATGGACTCTGGGAAATACAGCTACACACTTACCGCAACATCAGGCTGAGAGTGTCGAACAGACAGTTTAGAACGGCCATCAGCATGAGCTAATTTGGGAATTTAAAAACAAAACACAAAGAAAGGAAAATGATGTTTAGAAAGGAGAACACACATCTTCAAGGCACAGTGGCATGCAGACTTTGCCTCAAGGTGTCCCTCTAATCCCAGTGACCATGCCAATGCTTAATCAACTACTGTACATCAGATCTCAGTGCACAACTCTGGAGTGTTGGAGTTCTGCCTCTTTTTTCTCCTTTTTCTCAGACTCTCGCAAAGCAGGCTCCCGGATCAATGCTCCATCTAAGGAAAACTCCGGTCCCGACGTTGTGAGAGAATGCGGGTATTTTTTAAACGACGGGTTAAACCCCATCTTCTCTTTGCTTCTACTGCGTCCTCGAGGAACAACACTGAAGACTGAGCCCTGAAGGATCACGTGATAAACAAATGAGCTCTACGTGTCCGCTCTGGCTTTCTCTAAAGTGGATGGGATCGCGTTTACATTAGGGAGAAGGAGGGGAGTGCTTCTTTACTCAAAGAGTTGTGGGAGTATGGTCCAGTGGTCCAGCCATGTTGTTGAAGCTAAAATCCTGGCTTTTCTCATGGAAGGGAAGGGAATCAATTAGCCACTAACCAAACAGGCTGGACAGATCAAACAGTCTCTCTTGTCTATAACCTTCCTTACATTTGTATTCATTATTATTTGCATTCTTTTTAAAAAGTATTGCACTTGGAAGTAGCACTGTTTTAAAGTTTTTTAAATGTCTTTAAATTGTCAAATACTTGTCATTTTTATTCACTGGAATTGATGATCACCCCAGCTCAGCTTCTCCTGGGACCCTTGAGGCCTTTTCACTTTTGTTGGAAATGCTCAATGTCCAGTCCCACAGTGCCCACAGCAGAGGGAGGACCAGCTGGAGGCAGGACGCAGCTCTCCTCGACAGCACTGCCAGCTCTGGGGTTCCTACTGCATGGCTAGCTGAGTATCTGCAACCTGGCTCAGGTCTGCTCTGCCCGGGCAGTTCTCTGCCAATCGCAGGGAAGCCTGGTCAGCGCCAGGAGACCTGCCCACACCAGAACCCTGAGCCTGAGACGCACACCTCCTGCTGCTGTAGAAGTACCTCATTTTCCTGTGCGCTGCCAACCACGTAGAAGAAGAGGTCGATGCTGGTTTTGTAGACGATAGTCATCCCTTCCAAAAAGGCGATCTCGCCTGACGAGAGACCGACAAGGGGGGGGGGACAGGGAGGATGATGAGAGAGACAGAGCGTCAGTCCCAGTGTTTTTGGACTTGTGCACAGCTGGAACTGCAGGCAGGACGATGCTGAGTGTGGAAAGAGTACTGACTGAAACCCTAGTGAATTTCCTTATTTTTATGATACTCCTTCCACCTGATTACAAAGCCCAGTGAAACCAGCAGGTAGCAAAACCAGTTTCATTTCCTTTGTCTCTAGTAACACAATCTGTAAATTAGGGAAAGACAAGAGAAGGCAGGCTGTGATATCTAGTATGTCTGGAACTCACACAGTACAGCACCACAAAGGCGACAATGTGCATATTATACCACCTGAACACCAGGATTGCTGTGTGCACTTGCTCAGTACTATTGATTAATTTAATCTTTATTTGATATTTCTTTAATATATTAAAACACTGGATATATAAGGTTGTAGGTGTGACCCACATCAGTGTAAGCATTTAATTTCTTTTTAATTTTTGACAACGGTCCCTTTCTTTTCTTTCGTAGTGGAAGGACAGCAGATGTTAGCCTTTGAACCGGAATTAGAATGAATTACAGATGTGTTACAAAGGAAGAAGGGGGAGCTTACTGTCTGTTTTATGAGTTTTATTGAAGACATTCCTTTCAAAATTCTTCTGTTCCTTCATGGAGGGATAGAGATCTGGATCATAATACTGCAATGACAAAAAAAACAAATCTTTGCTTTCCTGATGCTACTGATTTCAGTTTCTCAAATGCCAAAAAGATACTCAGCAAGGGATATTTTCGAGGTGTTTTCTCAAGGCACAACGGTTTTCAGAAAGTTAAGAACCACAGCAAATTGCCAAGGTGTTACATCAAACTGCAAAACAAACATTTGAATTAAATCCACTGCGACTGGGTGTGTGTGTTTGTATGTGCGTGCTGAAGAGGAAGAGACCGTGTTTAACTTGAAAACCGAATTCCCAGCGTTTTCAAACTGAGCTAATTCAGGAATGACTGCTCAGTACCTTTGCCAGGAGTCTGTTACCATCATTGTCCAGAATGAAAACAGCCTTCACTGTGTAGAGAGACGGTTCCTGAAAGACAACAGAGGAATGTAGAAATGTCACACTATACGAATGTCTGTTCAAAAAATTAAGCCTACGTAAAGTTCAGCTTTTTACAACGTCCCCCCGATATTTGTACTTCTTCAAGCTGGGTTCAGCTGGACTGATTATTGAACTGTAGCAAAAGCATGCCAGGTTGGAAACTGCCAGCAGCCATATCACCCTGCAACTCACAAC